AACCGATTAACTACTTATAATCTGTAGATGCTTGATGGAATTTGAACTATTTATTGTTTAATGCACAGTTTTATTAGTGGTAGGTGTGATTCTGTATGCAGGCAACTTTTCTCTGTGTTCAGCTTCACATAGCATATTTTGAGCACCTTGTCTCGTTTGGATTGGTTTCCGTTTCTTTTTTCTTGCTTTTTGAACATATGCTAGCGGCATAAGAAATGTCAGCTCATCCCCCCCACCTTTTTTTAACATCTTTGTTGCCTAATAAGATTGAGAGTTTTTTTTTTTTTGGGAAAAATTGACGGGCACCTGACTATTTTATCCAATCATTGTTATATATTGAGGGCTCTTTTCTTAAAGTAAGTAAGTGTGGGCTGAGTAAAATAGGTTTTATTTCTCGTTAAATTAAAAGCAAAACAAAAATTGAAAACAAACAAAAGCAAAATTGATCTAAATATGGCCAAACAACTGAAATAGCATTTTTACCTTTGTTTTGATAATAATAATTCATTTTTTAATAATTATTGTATGTTTGTTTGGCTTTTTAAAAGAAATATGGCTTCAAGAAATGATAGGAAAACTTTTTTTGGGGTGTGGGATAGAAATAAAAAGGTTAAAAGGGTTTAAAAGCGGATAAATGATGAAGTTAAAACTTATGATGATCTATGTAGTGGGTTTGTTGTGGAAGAGAAATATGATTAGTAAAATAGCTAAGGCTTAAAGACTTAAATCAAGTTTGTGTACTTTGAGTGAAGATACTGATTGTTTAAAGAATGAGGATCCTTGTGGTAAAGAAAATAGAATTTTGGGAAAATTTTAGTTAAAGTTTTAAAAAGGAACATTTCCTTAATTGAGCCAATTGAATATAATTTTATTGTAAGGTTTATAAAAGTTGTAAGGTTCATTCATTTAACTCTAGATAGAATGTATGTAACAGAGTAGCTGTTTGTTATGAGATATCTATTGAGATTTGGAGTAATGCAAGGTTCTTTGAGGGTGTGCGAAATGATTAACAGGCATGTTTGTTTCAATCTCGGAGGTAATGGTGGTAGTTATTGTGGTAATTATAAGGAAATAGAATGTGAGTCATTAAATAAATTATGAAAGAGTTATTGACTGAGAGTTATGAAAATTTTAAGAGGTTATTTTATATTGATGCGATAACAGGAATACCATAGAAAACTATGGGCATGTTATAAAGAACCATACGATAGATGTCTATACAGTTTTAGTAACCCTGAAAAGGCATATGATTAAATGATCTTTTGTGAAGATATTCAAGTTGTAGATGTATCAGTGATCAACATCAGTGGCAGTGGAATGATAAGAGTGCAACTAATCATAATAAGTTTATATGGATGGCAAATCAAAATTCCACAATGTTTATGTTGGTCTTGAGTACAAATAACATATTTTCAAAATGAGGCTAGTGTAAATTGTTTGCAAATGACATGCGATTTATTAAATTCAAAGATATAGAAGGAATGGTGTGCTAGACCAAGAACAGTTTGGCTTGTTTAAAATATAGATTTGCAAATTCTAAAGTTGATGCCTCATGGGCATGATAACAATATTGATCGAGATGGGAAAGATGAGATAATTCTAATCACTTATGTTGAGCAGTTTTTTTTTTTCATGTAGACTGATGCGTTACGTAATTGAACTTGGAAAACTTATCACTTGCATTTTATTGTTTCCTTGGGTTTGATCTTTTGCTAATTGAGAAGGAACAATGAAGCATACCCAAAAAGCTGTGATTATTCATTCTGATCATCAGTTATATTGAACAATTTTTATTCTTGCCAATATACCCATACATTATGTAATTAACATCGGAAAACTTAATCATATCATTCTCACTATATTTTTTTCTTTTAGCTATTGAAGTTTGATCTTGTGCCATGGTTTTTTGGCTATCTACTTAATGTTAATTGTTTTTTTACTTTTTGAAGTTGCAGTTGTTTGTATTAAATTTAATTTTGATTTTAGTTTGACTTGCACCATTAATTTTTTGGTCATAAGTCATAAGTTTTACTGCTTTGCTCGCATGCTTTTACTTATGTGCAAGTCACTTTATGTTTTTTCTTTCAGATTTACCTTTTGTTAACAATTTGAAAAATTGAATATTACATTTATATTTTCCTTTGCTTGAATATCAATGAATGCTTTATTTAGTCTATTGATATGGTTGAGATACTTGTTTGCAGATGCATTGATGCAATACATGAAGAAGATTTTTGCACAATCTTGAAGGATATCTCTCCAATGCTGATAAAAGTTATATTTTTTCTATTATTGGGGAAGTTTGAAGTATTAAATGTTAAGACTTATATTTTGTAAGAATAATGTTGTGAACTTGGAGGGATTTCCAAAAATTCTAAATTTCTTCAGTTACTTATTGTACTTCCCTTTCTTATTTCTATGATGTTATTTGACTTTTATCTTTATATTTTGAACTTTCATATTTTGATTATATTTCTTTTCCTTTTAGTATTATGTGTTAAAATGATACTTAACTTTTATGATTATTTTCTCGTGCAACTTTCATTTGGATGCAGTTTATTTTCTGGTTTTTGTCATGTCTATTTTGTTCTGAGTTTATTATTATTTTTAATAGATTGTGCTTTAAATTAATATTTTATGTTTTTGTGTTATAGAGGAGATTTTTGTAAGTTGTTTGAGTAGGTGTGTTTTATGGTTGTCTTTACTCACAAACTCTAAGTCCTCCACACAATATGCAAGGTACCATGCTGTTTGTTGTGGTCTCAAATGACATGTTTTTGGTTGGCTGCAAAACAGTGACACAGTCATCTTTAATGATTGAAACAATGGGTGGTTGAAATGGAAGGTTACGGGACATGATTGTTGTCTTAAATGAGGGACACATCTCTTAGCAAATGCAATGTGTGGGACATCTGTCAACAATGGAGGATAATGGGAGGCATAATTAATGTTTGTTATCAGCATTGAGTGCAACTGATAAGTTCATTGAATGCAAAATGTGAAAATTTTTTATCCATTGCTAGATACGACACATCATTGAAGGCGAAGAAGTCCAAAACTGAACTCAAATCGAGTTTTATTTAGAGATTTTTAAGGGTTAAGTCTTTTTATTTTTATTTTTTTCATTTTATATGATGTAGATTAAAATTTATAGCATATTGCCTTACCCCTTACATGAACCCGTGGGCCCATAGTGACCTGTGTTAGCCTTGGAGATCAATGAAGGCTTAGAGGTATCAATAACCACAGGTCATTATTGGATGGTTGATTTGAAGATATTGAGTATTGGCGATGCCATGAGCACATTAGTGGTACTTAGTTTAAGGGTCTGTTTGGGGCAGCTACATCTTATAAAAAAACAACTTTAGCTGTTGAAAAATAATTTGATGTTCAAGAAGTTATGGTTGCTATTACAATTTTTTTTTTGAAAAATTCAGACCGCAGTTAGAAAGCTGCCACTGCATCTAGCCAGGACCGGTGGGCAAACATAAATTTCAGTTGTAGCTTTTTGAAAAAAGTTGTCAAAACGTAGTTTGCTCAAACCGAAAAAACTGCGGTGCAGCGCCTTATCGCAACCGCACTGCCGCCCCAAACAGACCCGAAGTTTTGGGAGATAATTTGGTGTTAGCAATTTTGAGAGAGTTTGTGGCCTCTTGAGTGGATCCAAAAGAAACAAATGGTAATATCTCATTAATTTTTGTGCATAAACTTTTCTAGAGCTGGCTTTACGGCTTGGTGAATGATAATGACATGAAGAAATTTGAAATCCATCTACACATTAAATGATGCATGGTCAACAAAGGGTTACAAAAACAACGTATTTTTCTTTGCTAGCACAAATAATTAGGGTATGTTTGGGATGGCTGCAAATTTTTAAAATTATGATTGTAAAGTTGTGATGAAAAAAACAACTTAGAAAGTTGTAGCAGGAATTGTAAATATATATATATTTTTTCAAAAAAATAAGATAGTAGCTTTTTAAAAGCCACCACACATTAACATGTTAGGTTGAAAAAAAAAAAAAAAGCTTTCCACCACATAAATTTAGCTTTCCACCACATAAATTTTACTCCCAAATAGAGCTTTAACTAAGATAGTCTGTTCAGGGTTGTTTTGCCCTTACCAAACTGTTTGAGCATCTGTGGATTTGACGTGATGTTACATCCTAATCTTATTTAGGAACAGACGTAGTTAAATTTAGCTAAATTTGGCATACTTTACATCAATTTTTTTTTTCTTTTTAAAATCTAGTCTATATTATTGTGTATTGAAGCTCAGCTCACACTTTGTGAGATGGGATAATACCTTGCAAGCTAATGCTTATTTATCATGTTCATTTTAGTTGTTATATATATATATATATTTTACATCTTGTTTTTGTATGTCGATGATTTTATTCCAGCGAGTTCAAAAATACCTTTGTGGTCCAGATATATTCACCAGCTTGCTCTTTAGATTAAAATTGATTTATGATTTGAGTCAAAACCTCATCCATGTCAATTACTCAAGGGACATCAACCAATACATCTCCTAAGGCTCTAGTTATTGAATTCTTATTTATCTTTTAATTTTTTATTTGATCAGTTTTAAAATCAACTTTTCTTTTTCATCTCGAAATTAGACAAACTTTACTGGAAAGATTGCAATTTTTGTTCTGAAGGGAAGGCAACAGATAAAAAGTGGTTGAAAAAAGTAATGTTTTAGAAAACTTAGGTTTTGGCTTTTGGGTGCTGGTGCTTGATTCAGAGCTGAAGGCCCATAACTCTGGCTGCTTTTATCAAAAAAATTGGTTTTTGTAATAACCGCTATGTTCAATTTCTTTCCTACTTTTTTGTAAACACCTTTATGTTCAGTTTCTTTCTTACTTTTTTGAATAAATTTGGTTAGCAGATTTTATCTCTCGTCCCTGCTTTGAAAAACCTAGTAGTATTTTTTCTTTGCAATTTGCTTTCTTTTTCTATGTAGTTCTCTTGATACAGCCTAATTGTTCCTGATTGCAGATGTGATTCTTGCCACTAGACTCAAACAACACGTAATTCTTCAAGCTAACTTATTCGGTGTCACTATTTTGGCCAAGTACAACACAAAAACAACATATATAGCAAGTGGGGTGATTTTTGACTGTGTGGTAATTTTGTAAGTAGGACTGCCACAAACAACAGCTTTAATTGGGTTGCAGCTTAAGCAGACGATCATTTTTGGATTTGCTGGTAAAGATCTTAAAGAAAAGTCCTTGTGGTTGTGTCCTTAGAAGAGATTTGAGGGTTTTCCAAATTTATGAGAGCGCCTCGTCATATATTTCCATTGAAATTTCACATGCACCCTCTTTGATGAATACATCTACTTTCCATGATATTTTTTGATAGAGAAATATTTTTGTTTTCCTTGTAAAAATTGTTCATGTTTTTTGTCTATGCTAGAATTTTGTGCATTCAGGTTTGACGGTAAACTTTGACGCCAGGTTGTTTGAAGTTTTGCGGGCTTCTTTCCAACTGATTGGACCCATCCTTGAGATACTGAAAAGATTAGTCTTTTCATTTCAATCTCGATCTTATTTTGCTTGTGATTCTGTTGGCAAACTTCGAAAAAACAGTGAATTGGTTGTTTGGTCAGATGTTGCCAGATTTTGAAGTGGTTTTCTAGAGAGATGCTTGTTGTCCAGAAACTTTTTTGGGTTTAGAAAAAATTCTTTTCCTGTACTTGATTTTAAATAAAACTTTTATCGATTAATAGGTTGCACAAAATGCTTGTTGCCACGTTCTAGATTGGAAACTTCGATAAAAAATGCATTATTTTCATGAGTCAGAAATCATGGGGGTCGTTGTTATACGGCTGAAAGCCTGGTAGAACTCACCATAAAGGTTGCCATCTTGAAACTTTCTTTTCATGGCGCACTCTGGGTATATCTAACAATCACTATGACGCCTTAAATAAATTGAAAAAGCAATTCACCAGCAATATGTGATTTACTTGTACTCATATGTTGATCAACTGATCTATCTTAATAACTAGTTAGAAGTACTTTTGCTTCATTTTTTACCAAAAGGCGTTGCATACAAAAACAACAATAAAGTCTTGGCAGGTATAATTTTTGATTAAATCTGATAGTTTTCCAAATTTGTGGGGGTGTTCTCTTCTTTATTTATTGAAATTTTTGGATACTCTTTTTGGAGCATATTTGATCTCCATGAAATTTTTTGTAGGAGTGCTATTATTTTATCTGAAATTTTTTTCATATTTTACATCATCTAGATTGGTAGAATTTTGTTATTTAGGTTCTGTTTATGTTCCGCGTTAAAATTAGTGACAAAACTGAAAAAAAAATTTGAGTGTTTATTACTAACTGTTTGGAATCATTTTTGAAATGTTGGCATGATTTAGTATTGTCGAGGGATTGAATATTGATCTTATGTTGCTTGTCATTCTGCTGGCAGAACTTGGAAAAAAACAGTTTGGATTGGTTGTTTTGCTAGCTGTCATTAAATTTTTCTTAGGAGATATTGAAAGCTTCAGAAACTATTTCAGAGTCTAAAAGGTCATTGCGACCATTATAGGATATAAATTTTTACTGCAAGTAGTTGCTGGATAACATTATTTTGAAGGATTCATTGAAATTGTTTTTCAACGCAAGTATCACCATTAGATAAAATGGATGAAATACTTGTTGTTGCCAGTATCTATGCTGGAAACTTGTGTAAACCATTGCATTGTTAGTTTTGTGATAGAAGCCACTGCTGTTTGCTATAAAATGGTGGAATTCCATGTGGAACTCACCATTAAGTTGTATTCTTCAAGTTTTCTTTTGACACTGCACTATATAGATGCCTACCAAGCACATCAGCACCTAAAAAATGTTCAAGTATTTGTCTGTTTCCTAAAAATCTTTCTCAATATTTTGCTTAAAAGTTCTTGAATTACATTTTATGTGGCTTCTTACAATCTCCTATAAGCCAACTTTGCGTGAAGAAGTATATTTCTTGTATCTTTTGTTTGATCAACCTCTTTGAAGAGTTGTTCCTGAAGGACAATGTAAGGTTTTGTATATTATAATGTCGACTTTGAAAAAGTTGCATTTAGAAAGGGAGGTCCTTGACTAGGACTCTGAGTTTTTAACTGTCAAATTCTTCTCTTTTTGAGAAATAGACTTTTCTTTTTGAGAAATAGACTTTTCTTTTTGAGAAATAGACTTTTCCAAGATACGGTACTTGTGAAATCAGTGGATTTACTTTATAGTTTAAATTTTGACGAATTTTTGGTGATACCCTGATCTTACGTGTTTAAGTTGTTGCTTTTGAGGTTTACTAATAATTAAAAGTAATTTTGGAAGGTCTATGATGTATTGACAACTTGATCTTTGATTTTGCTAAATGTTGGTTGAAAACCATTTTGCTAAATCAAGTTGTTAATTTTGTGAATTTTGACAGATGTTGAGTCTGTTCCCTAGAGATGCATGTTAATGGATAGCACACAGTTTGACGAGTTTGTTTTTTGCTGGGAGGATTTCAACTAACTATAACCATGCTTAGAAAGTTGGTGAACATTTAGTGTTGGCTTTAATGATGATCCCTCCTGCAAACCAAAACTTGATTTGCTTCATATTGAAGTGTCGCAACTTCTTGGAGGAATTCTCTTGTTTTTTTTTACCGAATTTATTTCATTTCTCAAATTTAGTTACAAGATTGTAATGTATATGTTTTTAATGTCTAGCTCCTTGCTTTAATTTATGTTGCTGGTTTTTTTGGCCTGATGAGATATAAATTGAGAATCTTCATGAATAATCATATTCTGTTTCATTTGTTTTCAATTTGTAGTGAGTGAAGTCTTATAAAGCGATAGCATGAAAAATTACGACATTTATCTGGAACGTCTCGACAGAGTGTGTTAATGTCTATACATCTGAAATTTTTTTTCCATTGTGGTTGCTGGTCAATGGATTTGGGAATCTTTTTCATTGTCAGCTCCAACAGTTGCATATTGAATGATATTTTTATGAACCATGCAAGTGAAAGTTCTACATTTTGTTTGACCTTTGAAATGAACGGCACAATAGAAGTGAATTTATAGGTGAAAAATTCTGAAGGAGAAAATGTATAGGGATTTGTCCAATTGAATTAAGTCATAAATTTTAAAATTTGTAACAAGCTTGATTGTTTCAAAGTGGTTTTAGGGACTTAAGTACATGTTACATGGGCAATCACTATTTATGTGATACAATGTTACTTGTGCTACCAACCCGCATATCAAATGCGAGCCGGGCAAGAAGACATTAAGGTGTTTGGGCAATGATAACTGGAATGTCATCATCTATGGGCATTATTATTGTATATTGTGATGCCCTTTCTGCGGTCATCTTGGCGGCACCTTGTGATTGGTTGATTATAATGATCAACACACTTTCAATGAATGCAACAAACAATACATCCAACAATTGTGATTGTTGTCAGTTGAGCTTGTCATTAATGAATTTACTAAGCCATTCGTGGATAGAGATTGATTAGGCAGTGGCATGTTTATGGTTAGCATGCTGAATTGAAAGGTGCTTTTAACCTTAAGAGAATGCTAGGAGATGAGCATTTATCAGCGACAAGCAACCAATGCTGGCGAATAGGGAGAAAATTTTTTCATCTGTCAAAATCCTAGAGGAAACCATACAAATAAATTGAATTTCAGCCCTATTTATGAATTTTTGTAGACTTATTTTGATTTTCATTTGATTTACCTTTTATGTGTATTCAATGACTCTGTTGACCAAGGAAGTTGTGATTGAAATTTGATTGTTTAACCCTACCTCATTCTTTTTGATCTAGGGTAGCCTGGAGGCCTCATTTGTTTGGAGGTGGCATTCACCATTGCTAATGAGTCATATAATGCTGATCCAAGATGCCTCATTGTAGACTGATGTCATAAGTGGCATCTCGTAATTAGATGAGACGTGCATCGGCAAAAAATATTTTGTCAAGATTGATCACTTCTTGAATGGATTTGAAAGAAATAGGTGATTTTATCTCATGAGTTTTTGGGCACAAGTTTTTGAAATGAATTTGTTTAAATATATAATATCACCTCTTACAATTTTTTAAAAAAATGAGGCAGCCTATCCGCACCTTAAGAGGGAAAACAAGGTAATTTTCAAGTATGATAGGAGTTGGAGCAGTTTGATTATTTTGTAATTTTTTTTTCCAATATATAATCTCTATGATGCATTTATTTTTCTCTCCTTTCTCTTGAACTTCTCTTCATTTTTCTCAAAATCTAATTGAGCTAGTTTTGATAGTGGAAAGATTTTCTATTTTAAATTGTGCATGATTATATGGTCTTTTTTTTAAGAAGCTCTAAGTTGTAATGGAAGCATGGAGGTTACTTGGCTATTTTTAATAACATATTTTGAAGTTTTTTTGTGCCCGGTTAGTTTTTTTGTTAGTACTATTGTTATTTGATACAAGCTTATTTGAAAATTGAGTTGGAATTTTTCATAGATTTAAGGTCCTCGAATATACTGTAACCTTTTTGTGAAGAGATTAAATTCCATATATTCTTGTTAGCTTCTCCAATTATTCAATATGAGCAAAGGTAAAACATTTTCTCAAGTTAAAATAAAATTTATAGATAAGTGTTACTTTTGTGCTTTTGGTAATCTTGCTTACTGCGCATTAGTTGCTATCAAGTTATGCAGCACCTTTGTGGGATGAGAAAATTTTTGCAAATACATTGGGTTTACATGAAGTCAATGGAGGCTGGTTTTAGAAGATTGGATTGTAGGTGGAAGGCAAATATGATTCGGGTTGACTATCATCGCACATAGATAAAATTATGGGAGAACAAACACAAATTGGTTGTCCAACATAACATGACTGGGATACGAGGATCAGGATTTTGCACTCATGTAGACATTCCAACCTTCCTTTAGGAGATGGGGACAATTTTATTAAGCGTGATATAAATAGGATGGAGCAGTTATGCAACACTGTTCAGTGGGATATGGACATTGCAGATGACATCGACATGATGCCATAGAGGATGATACAAATGTTGTAGCGGGTCTAGCTAGTTGAATATCTTGGACAACTGACTTCTAAATGTTTGCCATCAACATTCCCAAGCATATTACAATTTCATATGATGCCGGGCAGAGCAAGGCACCTTATTTTCCACATTGGATGCCATTTGATTTGTATTAGAACGGATTGGGGTGAGCCTAACCTACACAACCTTAAACATCATCACCAATTGTTCGCTTCATTTGTAATGATCTGGTGCACATAGGGCTTGTTCCTGTAATTTATGCTGAAATGCACATTTTCCGCGATGTTCATTGTGGGAAATAAACTACAATGCTCTTTCTGAACTCATTGT